AAAATTAAAGGATATTATACTTTTCTAGCAGTAAGTGTATTTTTTCTACCTACCACTGTCATACTCGTTATGTACGCTCTCGTTTTCGATGTTGTTCGTAAACGACAAAAGATGCTGCGAAATGGTGATCTCGGTCAAACTTACAATGATTGGACCCAGCGAAGAGCTTTTCTTCAAGATCTGAAGGCTATCCGAATGTTATTGGTTGTCGTGGGAGTATTTATACTTTGTTGGGGTCCTTACTTTATTTATATATTGCTTTTGATCTACTATCCAAATTTAATTGATTCGGATACCAGATCAATCAGTTACTTGCGTCTGATTCTCTTAGCAGAATTTGTAATAGCCATACTTCCTTATTTTAATAGCTTTTGTAATCCTATAATTTATGCCTGTCTCGACCAAACGTACAGAGAGGCTTTCAAAAACGTGTTTCAGCGAATAATATCCCGAACAACCTCAAGAAGATAATTACCGCCAAATGGAATAGAGTTACCTCCACAAAGAACTACCTAAGGCTACATTTCATTGATATGCAAACACTAGCCGGCGTAGCAGGCGTTTAGTGTGGGCAGAAGAAGAGAGGGCGTCGTCGAGGAAACGCTTGCCCAAACGACTATGACTAATGTATTTTCGCCCATCAAGGGTGATTAGCGTTTTGTAATTAGCAACTTCGCCTGTTCACCCATTATCGAATTATAGTCGAGATTTATATTTAACATCATAGATTCTTTTTTGCTCGGCAACTAAAGAGATTTTATGCTACTTTGCAAAACACAGAGCTGTTTTATCCTTTAAAAGACTCTTGAACGACAGTTGTTTAACGTACTCTTCCATAGCAAATAACAGTTGAGCAAGAATAGAATAGAATAAAATAGAATAGAATAGAATAGGATAAGATAGAATCATCCGATGATGTTTTTCGTGAGGGGTATCGAACAGGTGGGAAATTTTTCGTCCATTGTATTTACATTCAAAACAAAGCAGAAAGTTGGCAAGAAGCTGTTTTAGCTTTTTTTTTGCTTTCTATTCAAAGATGTACAAATTAACAGTTATTCTTTTAAAAATCGATCATGGATTCTTTGTTTTGGGATGATTTTTTTTTGTAATTGCGTAGAGTGATTGGAAGAAGTGAATATGGCGACGTGAACATGGGAGCAAATACCGTATACATCCAGCTATGGTACAGGGGGGCCATCCCAGGTCTTATTGAAGTTATGTATTAGAATTACGTATGAAATATATAGCTCAGTGACGAAGCCTGCGATTTGCGGGCTGTGTGCGGGCTAACGCGCGCGTTGAATACACAATAAAGAAAATAATAAAGGGATGAAACATCGACGAGTGCCTGGAAGTCCAAAATTCAAAGCACAATATCAGTGTGTTTAAATAAAAAGGTCAGAGTTTTATTATGTTGTATACGTTCACTAGGGCCTGTTCTTTCATATCGTCTAGCCAAAACCTTCCAAATAGTTGCTAATGAGGAGAAATTTTTCGATTGATTGCACAGCAGTGAACGGTTGGATGTTTCATTCGGTACAAACCGCGGTTTAATTATTTTAATAATCCAATATACCTGAGCCGAATTTTTACATATTGAATCTATATGCTTTTCCCAACTCATATTTTCATCGAGATCTGCTCCCAAACATAAAAATGAAAAACATCGTGTGACGGGTTTATTATGTATTATTACTTGGTCATTGCCATGTGTGAACCTATAAATATCACTTTTGTCTTTTTGATATGACGTTGTAATATATTTTGGAAAAGCCATTTTACTATATTTTCTCGGTCTTTATCAAGTTTTGGTACTAGTTCTGCATTGAAACTTGCTGATGGTGCATATATTTGTGTATCATCAGCATACATCCCTGGAGTTGTGTTTTGTAGCCATTCTGGCAAATCATTTGTAAATAACAAAAGCAAGAGGGGTCCCAAAAATAGATCCTTGGAACACCACATACAATTTCCCTAGCCGAGGATATGTAACCGTCAACAACACAAACTTGACTTCTTTTTGACGGACATGATTGGAACCATTGTAGCTCCAAACTATGAACTGCAAACTTTTCTTGCATTTTCCTGATTAGGATTTTGTAATCAATATATAGAGTCAAAGGCTTTCCTAGTATCAACTGAAATTAATCCGGTTAGTTTTCATTATTTATTTTCTCTCATCAATTATCGCTCATTTGGATTAATAACGACAATATCAAATACTTGGGCCGAAAATCTGATTGAAATTGGGAAAGTAGAGAATTGTCTATTACGTATTGATAAAACTGTCCAAATACTTATTTCTCAAATAGTTTGCTTCTAATGGGAAGAACAGAAATCGAGCGATAATTCTCACATTTCTTTCCATCTTCTGATTTATAGACAGGTATTAGCTAACCTAGCCCTTTTCCAATCATCAACAAATACACCCTTTAGAAATTGAAAAGTTAAAGATAAGTCAAAGACGGGGCAATAATATTGCAATATAATTTCAGTATTTTAACTGGTATCCTATCAATCCCAGTTGCCTTGCATATTTTTACATTCATCAAGTTACAAATACAAAAAAACACGTTCCAGAGCAAAATGAAATATTCTATTTAGGAAAATTCATGCCAAATTTGATCAAATTTCTACATATTGTTAACAAATGCATCGTTGATGCTGAAAAGGCAAGTTTAGACAATAAGTTGCCACAAAAAATGAAGTGTTGCTAGATTCAATATAAATTGGTCGTTTTAGCACCATCCTGACATTTATATACAAAATAAATATTTAACAGTCACGCAAAGCATTGACATATTTTTTTTAATTTTGGCTCTGCAATTGCTGCGCCAACTCTAAATTATTTGCATAAAAGCTATATGACTTATTGGCACTACAAATGCAGCGCCAACTAAAGGCATTGACATATGTATGATCTACAACTTATTATATTGGCCCTGCAATTGCAGCGCCAACTAAAGACATTGACATATGATCTACATCTTATTGGCATTGCAGTTGCAGCGCCAACTAACGGCATTGAGATATGAGTCGATACAACTTACTGTCACTGCAATTGCAGCGCCAACTACATGCATTGACATATGATCTACAACTTATTGCAGTATGAAACAGGATTAAATACTTCGCCGAATCACTCGTATAACTATTTTTCAGGAATATTTCTTCCAATTTATAATAATGATTTCCCAATAATTGTTAGAAATTCCAATTTTAAAGCCGGCTCTAAACCATGGTTCTCAGCTGGCTGCATATTTCGTGTTGTAAAAAGAATACTTTATGCTAGAAAATACATGCACGCAGAAACCCTCGCCTTGCTGACAAAACCATTGTATTTTCCCCAACATGAAGTATGCAATTAAGTAGTTGTCATAGTAACACGATAATTTTTAAGAATATTCTACAAATGAAAAATCGCCTAAGAATATCACTTTTAATTACAAAATTATTAATTTCCCAACATATATATGTTAGGTATGTTAATATTATACGTAATATAAACCTCAATACAAAATCAACTCAAAATATACAAGAATTACTGTTACTGGACGAATATTCTCAGGAAATTTGAAGAAATGAAGCAGCTACATTGTGAACGAAAGCGTACAGAGGTTAGTTCTAAAATACATTGAGGCTACTTTTATAATTATATGAATTAAAATAACATTAATATATTGAGTCATTGTTTATAAGGCCTGTTCTAATGTCTAAACGTCGCATTTTACATGTGACGAATGCATTCAAAACATTAGATAATCAGCTGAAATGCCTCATTATCCATTGTTTTGAATGCATTCGGCGCATGCAAAATGCGACGTTTAGACCAGGCTTAATTTGGATTAAAAATATTTGATTGTCACTTGTCTTTTTACTTTAAAACATATAAAACTTCTCAACAAGGCGCCGAGGAATGCTCTTGACAAAATTGATATTTAAAACTGTTCCTTATAAATTGATATAAATAGTAGCCTCAAGGTATTTTAAAACTATTTAAACCTCAGTACGCTTTTGTTCACAATCTATAGCTGCTTCATTTCTTCAAATTTCCTGAGAATATTCGTCCAGTAATAAGCAATTATTGGATGAGGCTGAGCATGATATCAAGAATTATTCAGACCGAGGTCAATGTTATCTGCCGAAGCGAAGCTGAGGCGGATAACATAGACCGAGGTCAGAATAATTCTTGATATCATGCGAAAGCCGAATCCAATAATTGTTTTATTATACATTTAAAGACATGAGAAAGGTATAAAACGATTCCTGTTCATGAGGTAGGAAAAGTACAATTTGAGTATCAAACACCTTGCACAAAGGTCAGCTAAATATTCTATTTCTACTTCTATTTACCCCTTTGTGGCTTTTTTCGTGCTTTCACTATCCTTATCTGCTGTAGGCCATTGTTGGGGTTTTTTTCGCGCACTTATAGGTTTAAGCTTTTGGCCGCGCAAGGGTTTGGGCACGAGAGAGTCCAATAATTTTTTTTTGGATGCAAGTTCGATCCAAAAAAACAATTATTTGACGCTGATGACGTCATCGGCGGAAAATACGTAATAAATGCCAAATACCGAAAATTAGCCGGTGCTTTCTGACCAATTAGAAACGAGAATACATATTAAATGTATAATAACAGTAATTCCTGTATATTTTGAGTTGATTTTGTATGAAAGTAGCAAAACGAGCTCGTGTCGATAAACAAAGTCTGAGGCTCGATCTCCACTCCTTCAGAGTTGTAAATCCCGCTTCGCGGCGTTATAAAGCCATAATATTCCAAATTTTTTGCTCAAAATTCTTCTTGTATGCTTCTGTCTTTGTGAGTGTAACGTAGGAAACGTAGCCAAGGCAAAAAACGCGAAAAACTACCGTCTGTAATACAAATCTATACGAAAGTGGGGCTCCACAATCGGTTGGCGGACGGTGACTTCCGGCTTCACTTTTTGTATACTATAGATGCGTTATCCAGTCTTATTTCAGATCAGTGGGTTTTCATCCAAGCCTTAGATAATCTCAATATTAGGCACACAGAGTTTGCTGGCATCACCGAACGCGTGAAGGGTGACTGCTGTTACAGGTTGGAAAAACGGTGCTAAACTGCGCGGTACTGTAAACGCCATCGATACTGCAAGTTGCCACTCTTCCCATCGTCTCCTGATTTGCTCCGTTAACGCCCAGTCCCATGGAAGTTTGGCTTTGCACATGTCTCTGTAAAGTTGTTTCGCGGCTAAAGTTGTTGGAGAAACCAAACCTAAAGGGTCATAAACCTTCGCTAGTTCCGATAACGCCTCTCGTTTGGTTGTTACTGGCTTCTGATTTGTCTCAACACTAAGTGTGTCTTTCGTTTTGTCCCACGTTCGACCGAGCAACTTCGTTTGTCTCTTGGTCGTACCGAGTTGAGCTTTTCCGAAAGATACTTTTTCGTAGGTTTTTGTAGGTTTTCTTCAAGACTCATAACATTCAAATTCCATTTGTGCAATTTGAATGACCCATGTTCGAACACTTCGATAGCCTTTTCACGTTTCGTTGTCACAGTTTCTACCGATTCCCCCCGTCATCAGGTCGTCAACATATAATCCGTCTCGAATTTCTTTAACCAGGTTTGGATATTTGGTCTCCCATCGTTTTAACTGTTCGTTGATAACTCTACCGAGGAGAAATGGTGAACACGTCATTCCAAACAAGGCTCGAGTAAACCGATATGATACACAGTCGTCTCTTCGCTTCCTGGACTCTACCAGAAAAACCGTAAGGAATCTCTTTCTTGTTCTCTAATGAGAATCTGTAGAAACGCTTTCTCGATGGGATAAAATCGTGCTCGGACGAGTATATTCCACAGTTGATTTTGGAGTGGTGGGCCAGGGTGAAGACACTCGTTCAATGACGGTTGTTCACTTGATTCCTTCACTGAGGCGTCGAAAACTATACGTAGTTTCGTGGTTTCTGCCGACTGTTTGACGACATCTTTATGTGGTATAGATAATGTTCTTTGCTACTCGCTTCGATTGGAGCTCGTTCTATGATGCCCCTTGGTCAAGTTGCTCTCGTGTAATATCATCATATCGTTCGTAGTTCCCCTCACGAGTTATTTTCTTTACTACAGACGTCAGTCGTCGTTTACTGTCTGCTTCATTCGTAGGTAGACTGGGATGGTTGGCTTTCCATGGAAGATTGGTTTCATACCAACCTTCAGGATCTCTCGTTAGCTGTTCTTTGAAGTCTTCGTATACTACGTTCTGGTCGCTTTCCATCGTATCAGCCATGCATAGGCGTTCAAAGTCCGAGTGCGCTGGTTGAGTCAAGAGCATCGTATTACGGTCAAAATCGATTCCAGTCGCCGCCGATAAGAGGTTTTGTGCTCGTTTTAATTCTCGCGTATTCGCCGTTTCCTAACACTAGGTGAATGGGTAGCTTCTCTTTCGTATCAGGATCATCGATAACAGCACCTTGAAAGTGACTGTACTTGCGTCTTAACTCCTCGTACCCAGGATTAATTATATTGAGGAGTTCTGGTTTTTTCCACTTTAGCTAGTTTCACATTCATTTTGTAGCTTCCGTCTAGAGCGCTAATTTCTGTGTCGTAATATTCCAGACGTGCCGTCTTTGATCCCATTAGCATATCAAAACTTTGTAACTTCGTCTCTCTCGGGTTTTTTGTCAATCATCGTTACAAGATTTGCAGACGCATATGATCTCTCGGCGCCAAAGTCAATTAGTGCGCGACACATAACTTACCTTTACTACGACTACATGGAATATTCCTTCTCCAGTTCCATCGTCTGTCATCAATTTCTCCTCGTTTCCTGATGGTTGACGTGGTTGTTCGCAAATTGATGAGTGATGACTTTTTTACAATTTTGACATGACGCTTTGCTAGACCATTCCGCTGCGCGATGCTTTCTTGTAGCGCAGTTAAAACACATACCTTTTTTAGTCAGGATTTTCTTCCGTTCGCTCGTGTCCGTTATTTTGTCGCACTGCGTCGCCTTATGACCAGTGTCCTCGCAATAAACACAGCCTCGTACTCTCGCTTCATCCTCGCGCGCACGAAAAATACTCTTACGTTCGTCGCGCTCTTTCTCGTTTGAAACAGCTGGGTTTCGCTTAACCCATTAACGTACAGCTTCGCTTAGCTTAGCGAAGTCCCAGGACTCCCAATCGGGATCGCTACGGACCAAATCCCCCCTAATTGCAACTAATTTGGCCAGTGTCTTCGCGACATTTCCTCTCACTTGCTCAAGTCAATTTTTTCATAGTGTCAAGCGCTTGGACACAATAGGACAGTTTCTCGTTGAACTCTGCTACTTTACGTGGGTTTGCGCTGGTTATGTAAGGCAACTCTAATATTTTCCTCACGTAGCTATTGACAATCTCCGATTCTTTCCCAAACTTATCAAGGAGAATTGACTTGGCTCGGTTATAACCTTCTGATGTAAATGGCAAGGTTTCCACACAACGTTTAACCTTAGGACTGAGTAGCTCTCGCAAGTACGTAAACTTGGTAATAGTGGCAATCGAACTTTTTTCAATAGTGAGTTTAAGATACCCCGGTTTCGGTGTACGGGTACGAGTAGTGTCATCTTGTTTACTAGTTTTTACTGATGTCTGTAATTAATTCAATCATACTTTTTCTGTTTTCTTGCAACAAGACAATGATATAATGGGGAAAATGTGCACCTTAATTACGAGTAAAAGTACAGACATCGGCGAAAATATTGCTAACCAAAATCATGCTACCCGTACCCGTACACCGAAACCGGGGTATCTTAACCTCTCTAATAGCTTTGTTGAACTGTCCCCAGAATTAACCTAGGCCAATCCATCAACGGACCATCAAACGTGGATATAACTAGTTTGGGTGATTTGGCAGTTTTAAAGTCAGAACATTCCTGTAATTCCGGTTTTGTTTGTGTCAGTTTCAGTTCGGCTTTCATCTTTAGACGTTTTTCATGCAATTTTAATTCTATTTTAAACTGCTTCTCTTGCGCTACGTGTTTTTCAGACTGTTCCTTTTCGAAAAGCCATTGTTCTAAACGTTTTATTTCTCCATCTCCCTGTTCAATTTTGACTTCAATCCCAAGATTCCATTCGTTAATTTTTTCAATGCTTTCGTCGGCCTCAATTTTTTCTGCGTCAACAGCACGTTTATGTTCGTTCGTTTCACGAATCGTTTCACGTAGCGCATTGAGATTCCGCTTAATACTATCAGGCTTACCTGAGTCCAATATATTTTCTGTTCGTTCTACGCCAAGCTTCAACTGCTTCAAAACATTGTCTCTAGCTTTTTCTCCATATTATCGCCGATAACCGCGTGTCGTTAAAATCTGTTCACTCGTATTCGAATATAGCCGGCGTTTCAGCTACCCCGTCGGAGGTGCCACGTGTCGAGAATGTGGCCTCCGAACTGTAGTTCTCGACAAGTCACAAAAATAAAACCATTTAATAAAAATATAATTCTACAACAACAACAATAGCCTACTCGTGCTCGATGCACTCACTAGATGTCACTAGTCATTACCTATTCTCACTCATCTCTTGTTACTGCTCTTCCTACAGTGTCACGTGATATCCCTAATAATAATTGCTATCCTATCTATTTAATATATAATTGTAAAAGCTTATCTGTCACTTCTCAACAGATGATTATGTAGCTTGTACCACCTTGTAAATACGATGATAATCTTATCTGATCTACCATACATGTATCCTAATGTTCTGTCTGCCGAATTTCCTGTAGCTGGCACCGACTTTGCAAGACGTGGTTACACATGCATGTGCTCATGAGCAGTTATGAGCATGTGTTCTACTCTAATGCAGCACGAGCAGATGAGCATGCGCTCATGAGCAGTCATGAGCATGTGCTCATACATCCATGCAGGATGAGCCTATGAGTGGGTGCTCTGATCCGTCATGCGCATTTGCTCATAAGCTCATGCAGGGTCAGAAGTTAAGCTGGCTACGGACAAATTCAGTCACAGTATTACGTACAGCGTTGAAAAAATTTGGCGGGACTTTGGGCAAGAGCTCACAAAATTGTAGCCGACATGATTTTGAAAATCTAACAAAATCTATGCGTAGTAGTTCCGGGTTAAATCGGACTTATGACAGGGGGTTCCCTCGAGGAACGTCAATCCGTGTCTGTTAATTTATGTATACATAGAAGATGCGCATTTTGCATTCCGGTTACACCCTTTATCGTTCTTTTGAATATTACGTTTAATACTTAATAGTAATTTATTTATAACAAAAATATTACACGTAAGAGTGTTTTATAAACACTGTTCTAAACATTTGATAATTACCAATTATTATTATTATTATTATTATTATTATTATTATTAAGTTCTCAAAGATTTCCGTTCTGGACACGAAAACAAACTCCTAAACCAATTAACCAGTCAAGGATCCTTTTTCTGCAGCGTCACGAAGTTCGCTTTACCTCAGCTTAGCAAGGTGTGGTCCGTCGCCCAATCAAAGCTCCCGAAAAACATTTACAACTTTACCATTCGTTACATTAACAACTCTCTTCCGACGCGCCAAAACCTAAACAGATGGGCAATATCTTCAAATTCAGACTGTTCTTTTTGTCTTAGCCCTGAAACATTACTACACATAGTAGCTGGATGTCAGTTTTATCTCGACCGATTTACGTGGAGACACAATTCAGTCCTGAACTTTCTTGCTCATCAGTTACAAACTGTTGACGGTTCTACTCTCTACGCTGATCTAAATGGATTCAAAAGCCCTTCAATACTTACTGGTGATACGTATCGCCCAGATTTGTTATTATCGTGCTCAAATGGTTCCTTATATGTGGTTGAACTCACCACTGGTTATGAGACAAACCTCAAAAACAATGTAAAACGGAAGAAGGATAAATATAGAGAATTATTGAGACAGCTAGGTAAAAATTTTAACCAAGTTAAATTTATAAACCTCTCCATCAGCTCTTTAGGTATTTTTGCAGAAGAATGTTATACATTTTTAGACATGTTAGATAGTATTGGTCTTGACAAAAACCACCAAATGTACTGCGTTAGGAAAATGATGACTATTGCTATTAGAACTACATATTACATTTTCTGTTGCCGAAATAAGGAATGGGAAAATCCGGATTTACTAACAATTTGACTTATCTCATTGTATATATATATATTGCATGCACTTTGTTCTGTTATTTTAGTTTAGTATAATTGTGATTCAAATAGCCAACCGTAAGTTACCTTTATGAGAGAGATTTACGATTGTATATGTATGTAAAGAAAAACATTTAATAAAGTTTCCATTATTATTATTATTATTATTATTATCATTATTATTATTATTATTATTATTATTATTAAAAGTCTTTATTGTTTATTGATTATCATGTCGAGATCGACATCGCTTACTTTTTATCCTGTGCGAAGATACAGACATCGCTTACTTTTTATCCTGTGCGAAGATTTATTATTCTTTCTTATTATCACACTGTTTGAACAAGTTATTGTGTTTGAGGAGTCTTCAATCAACACCGACGAAGTACTATTAACGAAGTAGAGGAGCATGGCAGTTTCACAGGGAAACAATTATCGAAGGGAAGGCAAGCAGTGGTATTTGGGGTCTAATGTGTGCTTGCTGTTTGGTTTGCTCTTTCTGTCGATGATTACTCAAACAGAAGGTACTGTGTGTAGTTACTGTGGTAAAGATTTTGTTGTCTTAGGTCGACACGTTTGGCGCTGTAAAGCACGCGTGACCAGTGATGCGTTCACTGCTTCGCCTAGAACAGCCTCTGATACTGGCCAGGAACGATCGAACAGCGTTGTCTTTCCTGAACTATCATTTGCTAGCTTGAATAACGAACACGATCAGGAGGCTTTTGCAGCTGATCATCACCTAGAAACCGACGATCACGATCTGCTACATGCCGAATGCCATTGTGGTAAAAAATGCAAAAGTTTTAAAGGCCTTCAAGCGCATCGTAAACACTGTCCCATTAATGCTAATGTAAATTTAAACCTGCTGTTTGCACAAGACTCTGATCCACCGATGCCACCAGGGCAAGCACGTGCAGTAGATTCAGTTGAGAATGAAGAGACGCAATGTCTAGATAATTCATTTCAGAGAATACCCGTTAAACCAGGCTTAAAGTTACCAAAAACACCGATCGGTTGGGATAATGCTAATGGTATTTTAGAGCAAATTTGAATATCAGTAACGAAATCACTGATATTAATACTGAAATTAGCTCACTGCAGGACATGATTTATACATATTTCAAGTCAAACTTTGGAACTTATAACAACGAAGATGACAGCATAAGCGAAGGGTCAATATTCCAGCAAAAGTACAACCATCTTTCTCGTCGGCAACTTAAATACCATTTAAGCGAGTTAAAGAAACTTCAGTGTAACGAGGCAACGCAAGAGATTCGCTACATTAGCAAACTATTGCGAGTAAAATATAGCAAAAGGACTCACCGTATACTATCTGAAAAAACCCATGATGAACGCATCCAAGAAAATTTCTGGAACTCTTGTAAGGACATTTTTGAGGACGAAAACACAATCCTCCCAGACTTTGATAAAGAAACTTGCACAATCTTTTTTCGTGTTCACCTGAAGGCTAATAGTGGGAAGGGGAAT